CTTCGTTATTGGTTAGATATTTGTCATGCAAAGCTAACGATTGTTGTGGATGGGTGTGGGTGTGGGTGTGCGTGTTAGTGTGAATTGATATAACAGAGCCAAGCCCACATCCACACCTCACTGACATCCACACCCACACCCATACCCATACCCACACCCACGCCCACACTCACATCCACACCCGCACCCCACACCCACACCCAACAAAATCATTATTATGACATCATAAAGAAAAAGCTCATTAATATTTTTATGTACACGAAAGTCTTGTTATCATATGTTCATTTATCACGATTAAAAACTTCTCATACTCATTGAGTCAAACTGATCTTCCCAGTCAGTGTCACAACCTCTCCGACTCTCCATACTACCATTAGACAAACTAATGAGAGTATCACCAGTAGCACGAGTAGCAATATTATTAACAGCACTAGTAAAAACAAGACCACCCACACCACCCAAAACAGGAGAAGAGTTGCCCACATTAGGGTTTTCACCAGCAAGAGTAGCACGACCAGTCTCAGCTAGAGCATCATAGTCAACATAATAAGCATTATCATCATTGTTTCCGTTAGTGGTCGACATTGATGTAGCCGCTATTTTCTTGTAGTCGCATCCTAAATCACGTCAGATGAGAAATAGATTTGATCGTTGTCTTCTATTGAGTTTGACAACACGATCTATAACTCAGAATATTACTATAATTTGTATTAGAGTAAGCCTTTCCTAACTTCAGGCAAAAAGACATTTTCATTGTTCAAAAAACACTCGTACGAACTGATAAGCGAAGATATATTCGATGATAGTTGGCTACATAGTGTCATCGATACTTTGTTAAACTTAGGTTTAAAAATTTAGCAAAAACATTGATTACTTACTGATATACCTTTGCTGAAGAGTTAAGTAAATGAAATGTCGATTCGTGCGTTCATCGAATTCTACATGATCGACGTTGAAGAAAACACCAGGAAATAATAGTTCTTCGTCTTCGTTTGGATACTCGGAGAGTGAACTAAGATTAACAGTAAAGCTATTCGAAGCTTCATAATAAATATGGCATACGCGTTGCTAAACCGCTCAGCTACATGATGATTCCAAGTACATGGCCTGAACGCTTGAAATGTGTACCATGATTTCGGAACTTTCGACGATTCGTTTTTGAGTTCAGCAATTAAAGTTTTGGATAGTTTGGCTGCGCGATAAAGTATTGTTCCTGATTCAGTTATCTTGTTGTTAAATGGATTATCCCATAAGAGAAGACCAAATGGAGGGGGTGGGTGTGGGGTGTGGGTGTCAGTGAGGTGTGGATGTGGGCTTGGCTCTGTTATATCAATTCACACTAACACGCACACGCACACGCACACCCACACCAACACCCATCGACACCCACACCCATCCACACCCACGCCCACACCCACACCCACACTCCCACACCCTTATTTATGCCTCACTACGAGATTTTATTTTTGCCAAATATTTAACATAATAAATAGAAGTAAAAAAACCTATTCCATAGTAAATTATATTTAATGTAGAAATATATATATGACAAATAGAAAATTATATCCGAAGACAAAATCTTGATAATTCAATACCGATTCTACTATGAGGAAAACATTTTTGAACTATAGAACGATATGGGTTGAATTTTTCAGGAATCATTTGTCTATGAATATGAAAAGAAAACAAATTGCTTCAAGCTTTCAAATAATTGACAAAGATCTTGGTCAAAAACATTTATATTTTTTTGAACTAAACAAAAATATTACTTTTTCTTAATGTATTGTTTTTTTTTATTTACATACCAATCGATTTTGATGTTTCTAAATTTTGTGTCCATTGTAAAACGTCAATACGATAAAAGTATCTTTATTGAATATTTGGTCGAACTAAAAGCAAATAATAATTTGAATTGATATTATAGACAATTCTCGAAGTTATAAATTTTATTATCTTATTAAACAAGAAATAATCATCTTCTTCACATTGAGTTCTTTTCTTTTTTAATTCGATATTGTAACTGATTCTTATTCTTGGAAGATATATAAAAAGGAATATTGTATAGCTAGTGATAAATGAGAAAAGAAAATCATTTTTGGAATGTCATACATAGTGAAGGAAAAATAATTAATAGGATAGAACCTTATTGTAATATATAGAATAGTTTTTGACAAAAACAACACACTAAACTAGATGATGTGTTTTATTACAGATCCATAAAAATGATATGTCTTTTCGTTTGATTAAAATTGAATGTTTTCTTTTCTTCGCTTTTTTACATTCATACAGGTATGGAAGACTAAAAAATCAAACTTTACAAAGATTAAATCAGAGATTATAGTCAGATATTTATTTGTTTTTGCTAATGACTTATTTCATAGCCATCACTATTGATAATAAAACTAAAAAAGAGACGACTCAAAAAATGTGTCACTTATTCAGTAAATAAATTGAACAACGAACGATAATTTGAGAAGGTTTATAAATTCTGTGACCTTAATTCAGATTCAGAAATAAAAGGATAAACTAAAACTCTTGTTAGCGCAGTTCATTTTGCGAATGAAATATGGAATTCGAATAAACTCCTTAGTCTCCCTTAAACTAACAGAAGATACTGAAATTAACAATATCTTGTAGATTTTAGTTGCTTCTCAAGTCAATCAATCGCTGCAGTATAAATCTATCTAATTTATTTCTGGACGCGGTACAGAAATTTGTTCTTGTTTTTGGAGAGGGTGCGGTAGCTGAAAAACTTCGACTTGCCAATTATACGTAGCATCCCAGGTCAAAAAAGCACGATCGTAAACGATCGTATACGACGAAATACGTCTAGAAACGGTCATCGTGTACGACGATCGTATACGATGGACGTACACGATGCCATACGTTCAAGTACGATCAACGTATACGTTGCAAATCAACGACTGTCGTGCACGATTGTAGTATACGACCGTATATGGTCGTAACTTAGTCGTAGGTTTCCACATCGAGAAATCATATAGAAAGATCGGTCATGAATTTTTGTATGATTCTATTAGATCTTACAAACTATTGTATATGATCATACGAGATCATACGGAAAATCATACGAAAAATTGTTGTCTCAGAAATCTGATGTCAAGTCTTACATCAAGTTTCTCGAACATGAAAAATTAAATTTGAGATTTTCTATAATATTAATATAGAAAATTAAGGAATAAAATCAACCATTTTCTATACTATTGCTATAGAAAAATAAAAAGTAAATATGCGATTTTCTATATTCAGGGTATAGAAAAAAAAGGAAATGAAAATTTATATTTCCTATATTATTATTATAGAAAAATAGGAAATAAAACTAACTGTTATGTGTATTAATAATATAGAAAAATAAGAATTATAATGAGTTTTTGTATATTACTAATATAGAAAAGCAGAAAATAAAAATTAATATTCTTTGCATTATTAATATAGAAAAGAAAGAAAGAAATTTAACCACTTTCTATATTATTGTTATAGAAAAATAAAGTAAAAGTACTGTTTTCTATGTTACCTATACATAAAAAAATAAAAAATTGAAGTTAAGATTTTCTATGTTACTTACATAAAAAAATAAAAAACTAAAATTAAGATTTTCTATATTAACAATATAGAAAATTAAGAGGTACAAGATAAGATTTTCTTTTATTGTTCGTATAGAAAAATAAGAAAAATAATTGTGTGCACAACTCGATCGTGTTTTTCAACTGCTGTTCTTCGTAGTAAAACTACTCGAATCAACAATTCTCGAATAAATAAAGACCAGGGAACATCATACACGATCGGATAAGGATAGATAAGATCTTCAGTAGGTACTGGTGTATGTTCCTTTTTGTATGAACCTTTTGTGGTTTGAAGAGATTTGATAGGAAGCATTGAGTCTGTCCCTATAAGTGTCTTAATCTTTGAATCTCATAAGATTATTTGGTGACACTGTACAATCAAAATCTACCCAAATCAAAAACCTGACATCAAATCATGCAAAATCCGATAAGATCTTATCCTTATAGGATTTTCTCTATGATCTTGTCACAAGATCATATGATTTCATATGTGTTCGTTGTTTGAAGATTTCCTCAGATTTTGACCATAAGATGCCAGCAAAAATCTTACAAGATTTAAAGATTAAGAAACCTATTAGTACCGGCTGAATGTTTCTTGTGAGATCTTATCAGATCATATGAGATTAATGTAAAAAGAAACATAAGAGAACAAAATGTGGATCCTGTCTGTTCTTAGCTGAATGTGTATGGTCTCTCCTGTTCTTTAACTTATTCGGAAATTGTTGATTCGATCAGTTTTACTGTGAAGAATAGTAGTTAAAAAACAAGATCAATTCGTGTACCTAGTTTGTTTTGGTACTTTTCTGTAGTGATTATACAGAAATCTTAACTTTCATTTCTTATTTTTCTATATTAATAATATAGAAAAGGTGTAATTTAATTTTAATCTTTCTATATTTGATAATATACAGAATCCTAATTTTCATTTTTTATTTTTCTATAGTGATAATATAGACAATCTTAATTTTTACTTTTAATTTTTCTATATTTCATATTATATAAAATCTTATTCATTATTTTTCATTATTCTATTTTGGTAGTATAGAAATTCCTATTTATATTTCTTGTTTTTCTATTTTGGCGATATAGAGAATCCCATTTTTACTTCTCATTTTTCTAGCTTAATAATATAGAAAATCTTATTTTTCAATTCATCTTTTCTATATTGATAATATAAATAACAGTTAGTTTTATGGTGTTTATTTTCTATATTTATAATATAGAAAATCAGACTTTCTATATACTGTTTCTATATTGATGATATAGAAACAGTTAGTTTTCTGTATTGTTTCTCTAAAATGATAATATAGAAAATGCTAACTTCTATTTTTTATTTTTCTATATTGACAATGCAGATAATAGTTGGTTTTATTTGTTTTTTTCTATATTGGCAGTATAGATAACAGTTACTTTTGTTTATTATTTTTCTAAATCAATAGTATAAGAATCTTAGTTTTCATTTCTTATTTTCCTAAATTGGTAGTATAGAAAATCTTATTTATTATTTTTGATTTTCTACATTGATAATATAGAAAATGGTATTTTAATTTTTCTATATTTGATAATATAGAGAATCCTAATTGTAATGTTTCATTTTTCTATAGTGATAATATAGAAAATTTTAATTTCTATCTATTCTTGTTCTATATTGCTAATATGGACAACAGTTACTTTCATGTCTTAATTTTGTATCGCATTAATATAGAAAATCTTGATTTTAATTTTTTTTTTATTTTTCGATATTGGTAATATAAATATCAGTTAGTTTTAATTTTAATTTTTCTATATTGATTATATAGAAAATCCTAACTATTATTTCTCCACATTAGTAATACAGATACCAGTTAGTTTTATTGGTTTTTTCTATACCAATAATATAGAAAATCAGATTTTTAATTTATTTTTTTGTATATTGGTGATATAGATAGCAGCTTGCTTTATTTTTAATTTTTCTCTATGGGTTATACAGAAAATATTATTTTTCATTTTTCTATATTGATGATA